GACAAGGCAGCGGAGGCGGCAGAGGCCTTAGAAGAGGTGAAGAACATAGAGACGCAATTAGCCGCCCAGCCCGATCTCCCGAATCAGATGYGAGTCATAGCGCGGAGCGTCGCATGCYTGGCACGKGTTCAGGCAGACCAATATGACTTTAGCAGAAGTCAGGACATAGYTGTGCGCTCGATACGATTGGGCTTTCGAGACTTTGCTCGTGAGTTGGTAGGCGCCGTTGGAGTCGAGGTGGGTCACCGCCTCGACAAGACTGAGCGGTTCTGCGCCGGCGCCATTGAAGGCATCAAGGCGGCAGCTCCCAAGGAGGAGGAAGCACGTCCTCCTCGCTGGGAGCCTGTCAAAGTCAAGTTCCCCGATTCCTACAGCGGGAGGAGGGAAGAAAACTTTGATAATTGGGAGGCCAACGTTACGACCTATGTGCACTTGCAACAGGTCTCCCTAGATCAGCAAGTCTTAATTGCTATCCACGCACTAAGAGATGAGGCCGCGAGTTTTGCAAGGTCCCTAGTTCGCGCTGCCAACTGTAGTGATGATCCCGTTGCGTACTCCTCATTTACGTCCCTCACYGAATTTCTGAAGTTGCTGCGCGAGCGATTTGCTGATGTCGCTCGCGGTGTCAAGGCCTCATACAAGCTCCAAACCATCCATTCTCGTAAATGGAAGAGTGTCAGGGCACTCAAGGGTACAATGGATGAGTTGGTGGCCGTCCCTAACCATGGGGTCACAGAGGGCCAGTTGGTCAACCTCTTTTACCGGGCTATGCCCGAAGCCTTTCGAGGGCAGTTCTTCACGAAAAGCGAAGACCCTACCACCACTTACGATTCTCTTAGTCGTGAGGTGGTGGCTTTTGAAGCAAAGTCAGTGTCCCTGTCTACCTTCTGGCACAAAGACTTGGACAGGGGTAAGMAATGGAAAGRCCGCACTATCTCAGGGCAGGTAAAGACCAAGGATAGCCTTGTCCTGACTTTAGATGAGGGTAGTGTGGATGAGATTCCCTACGACCAGATTGAGTGGGGATTAGAGGAGGCGGACAGCGGTGTGGGCCAAGGGAGATCTTACACTGCTGTCGCGGCTGGAGGGAGACCGCAAGGAGGAAGAGGCCAGGGCCAACGAGGCCGGGCCTCAGGGAGTCGATTTCAGGGCGATCAGGGGGTTGGCGGCAGAGGAGGAAACCGCCAAGCGGGAGGYAGGGGTCAAGGTCCCCCGCAAAACCGTCCTTGGAGGAGGGTTCCCTATAGAATAGGAGGATGGCACCCAGKGCTACCTCAGGGTAGGCCTTGGGAATCTTTGGGTCTGGACCAGGCTTTATGGCAACAACAATTGGACCGGGGCCAGTGCATTTTCTGCGGTGACCCGGGCCATATCATCAAATATTGTCCTAAGTATAGAGAGACCC